TCCTCATACAGGTGTCGTCTCCTGTGTAGGATCAAAGTCCAGCCACCAGACACTTCTGGAACATTCCAGGACTCCCGAGCCCCCCAAGGGTGCTCTCGGTGACACCTCAGTGCTGAGGTGCTGAGATCCCACATTGGGGTGCTGAAATCATTTTCTGTCCTGCCTGGGCTGCCCTGCAGAGTCAGAGTTCACGCTCCTGTCAGAGTTCTCTGTGCAGATTTGGGTTTTGGTGGGCTCTGGGGTTGGCAGGTCCCTCACAGGGATAGGCCATGCCCTTCAGAAATTCCTGATTTCCAGCTCCTCCCTTGTTCCTAACCCAGGATTTGGTGGTTTTTTTTATCTCTTTGCAGTTAAAACTGGAATTTCCATCTCCTAAGACAACAAGTGAGACGCTTCTGGAAGAGGAGAAATCTGTTGATTTTGTGTTTATTCCTCCAGAAACAAAACCAAGAATATTGACAGAACATCAGAAGGAAGTGCTTAGGTCAAAGAGGTTTGTCATTTATTGTTTTAAATTTAATGTGGATGTCGTTCCTTGAGTAGCTGAGCTTGACTTAACTTCAATTCCTGTTTCTCACACACCCCAGGCCATTGAGTCTTGTTCTTCCATGCCAGCTATGGAGTTTAAAGCTAAAAGAGTTCCTTGCTTTGCTGTTTTAAAGCAGCCAAATTATCCTTGCACTGGCATTTCCTCTTCTGATTAAATACACTCTCTCTGGTCTGCTTGGAGTTTGGGAATCTGCAGTTCAGATTTTCACTAGTGGGAAATAAAAGCTGTTATTTTTCATAAATCATATAAATGAAAGGATTGGGTAATAAATGAAAGGATTGGGTAAAACAAGCTGAGGATGGGATTTCTTGAGTCACAGCAGGTCAGGAATTAGGGTGTTCCCAAGACTCACCTTGATTGCAGAGGAACCTTTAGAATGATCTTTTTTAATGAGAGAAGTTAATGTTGGTGTGTTTCTGTGCTTCAGCAGAACTTGAGGCAGAAACTCCTCTGGGCTGTGGTGAATTCTTTACAGAGAGGGACCCCAATCACAGCTTTTATTCCCCAAAAATAAAGATTTAATGCAGCTGATAGGAATGGCCGTGAAATAAGGAGATAATAAATCCCAGCGAGGAGCCTGACTCCCGTTCTGGTGCTGTTGCAGAGCTGACATCCCTGCCATGTACAACAACCTGGATGCTTCCCAGGACACCAGCTCCTTCTCCCAGTGCAGCCAGAGCCAGGAGGATTCTCTGTGAGTGAAATCAATGCCCAGCTGTGCTTGTTGGAGGGTTCTCCTTTGGCAGCAGCACTGATCTCAGCCGTTCTCTTCCAGGGAAATGCCACCTGCAGCACAAACTGCCAAGGGAGACCCTGCAGAGCAGCCTCAGGTAATTTCCCATTGTCTGATGGTCACTAAAATCAGTTTCTGCCAAACGTGAGAGGTTTTGTGGTTTGTTTTCCATTCTGAGCACCAAGTGAGAGAAAATTAAACACCATTGCAGTGCTGTGTTCTGCTTTATGTAATTTATTCCTTTGGGATTAATTAGAGTATCATTTAGGCCAAATCACTGGTTATTTGATGTCAGGATGGGAGGATTTATGTGAGCAGTTCCTGATCCCCCACGTGCCTCTGCTGCCCCAGTATTTTATTGGGGTAGAGATTGTAAATCCTGAATTCCTTCTGGGGAGGACTTGCCTGAACAGCTGCTGTGCTAACAGCCAGGCAGAGCAGGTGAAATACAGCAAAACCTCAAGCGTTTTTGTGGTTATTTGTTTTGGGATTAAATGGTTTTCAAGTGTCTTTTATAGCTATCAAAGCATAGATAATAAATCATTTGGTGGTTAGAAAAACCTCGTGGGTGTGTTGATTTCTATTGCACCAGAATTGGAGTTGAGTATTACATTCATAGGGCAAGTGCAGCTGTTCCATTTGATTCCTGGGACAAACCTTTTGCTGTTGGTGTTTTTGGGACAGGAGGAGAACATGGAGAGTGAAGGATCTCACTCAGAGGAGAGCCCAGCCCACACCAGCGAGGAGGAGGCCAAAAATGAGAGAGCTGAGATGGTCCCAGAGGAAACATCAGCTGGAGAGGATATGGAGACAAGATCTGTGGAAGCAGCTCCTCAGGAGGCCTCAGCAGGGAAGGAGAACACCCCAGGTGTCACCAACAGCTCAGTAGGGAAGGAGGACACTTTAGATGTCACCAACACCTCAGTAGGGAAGGAGAACATCTCAGGTGTCACCAACAGCTCAACAGGGAAGGAGAACACCTCAAATGTCACCAAGAGCTCAGTAGGGAAGGAGGACACCTCAGATGGACACCTGGATGCCAGCAGCTCAGCAAGGAATGAGGACACTTTGGATGTCACCAAGAGCTCATCAGGGAAGGAGGACATCTCAGGTGTCACCAACAGTTTAGCAGGAAAGATGGACACCCCAGATGTCACCAGCAGCTCAGCAGGGAAGGAGGACACCTCAGATGGACACCTGGATGCCAACAGCTCAGCAAGGAATGAGGACACTTTGGATGTCACCAACAGCTCAGTAGGGAATGAGGACACTTTAGATGTCACCAACAGCTCAGCAGGGAAGATGGACACCTCAGATGTCATCAGCAGCCCAGTAGGGAAGGCGGACACTTTAGATGTCACCAACAGCTCAGCAGGGAAGGAGGACACTTT